CTGCGTAACCGTGAATTATATATCGTCACTCACTTAACTCACTCTTTCCCCTATTTAAAGAAAGAGGGGGCGTGCACGAAACGGTATTTATTAAAGGAGGGCATGGATGACAGAAGTTTGAAAAACGCTGGTATATGCTATAATTTGGTGTTTAGACTTGAAAAATACCTTATGCAACACATGGGTTAAAATGTCAAGTCAGAGACATCAATGTTGAGACAATGCCATTGCTAATTCTAAACTATTGACCAGAGGAATAGTAATCAATCAACAGTGCCCGTTGTTTACATGGCTACTCATAACTGAAAAGCGGGACTCACTGTCACAGTTATAACACCTTCACAGCTGAAAGAATAGCATACAATGTATTTTTGTACGTGTATCACAAATCGGGACTCACTGTCACAGTTATAACACCTTCACAGCTGAAAGAATAGCATACAATGTATTTTAGTACGTGTATCACAAATCGGGACTCACTGTCACAGTTATAACACCTTCACAGCTGAAAGAATAGCATACAATGTATTTTTGTACGTGTATCACAAATCTTTCATTTAAGACAAGTGCCAAAAATCAGGAAAGATGGTGTATGAATTTGCTAGAATTTGCATACCAGTTTCTGAATGTCAGATCTTTTAAGATTAGACATCGAATCGATTCAGATTGAAATTCTGCTAATTTGTATATAATTTATTTACTTTACAAATGTTATTTTATTTTATGATGAGAAAGTAATAATAGCTTTTATATAAGATAATTAATTAAGAGTTTTGTATCTAGACGACTTTCGTTGAAACAGTAAGTTAATCGGGAAATGCATAAAATGTACATTTTACTCTAAACGTGAATAAAGGTAAACGAGAAAAAATATATAACTTATGTGCTTTTATTTCTTCATATTATGTCTTATGTACTCTATGTAACTGAAAAAGGTTTGAGATTAGATATCCTACACCTTTTGAAATACGATGTACTGAAAACAAAGAATAACTGCTGCGAAGCCCAATAGATGACGACAGGTGTGTGTAAAAAAAATCGAAAATATTTAGGTTTTGGGTTTTGCATAGATAATGATTTGTTTCGTTCGTTTTATTAGTATAACTCATTCTATACACTAAAAATATGCAATGCATATTATATCAGACTTTTGTTTATTGTGTAATGCCTGTTGACCTAATAGGAAACCAAAGTTACAACATTCTTTAAAATTAGTTTTTAGGTTTGCTTGTAATGTATTAAGTACGGAGCTAAACAATGGATTATCTGTATTCTGAACCCTGCAAATATTAAAGCCTTATTTTTAGAGTTATAAGTCCTCAGACTTATAGCTGATCCACCAGGGGACAGCTTTTAGAAGAAAGTTACATGTAGCTGCTGAAATGCAGTCAGTTTTATTATGTGTTTTTAGGTTTTAATTCTTTCCATTTCAGATCAAATACTTCATACCCCTTCCACTTTAAAAGAGATAGCTAAATTGTATAAACACTTCTCAACGTCAGCGAAAGATCAAGGTGTTCATTATGAGATGATAAGGTTAATATGCACAATGCATGGTTGGATTATTTACATTCTGTATACACGACGATAAGATAATATTTGAAGATATGTTTTAGATGTTCTTTTATTAACCTCAGTTATATGCTACAACAAATAACAAACAATTAATTACTTTTTATAATCAAAGCCACTGATTTACATTTTCACTCGCAAAATATTTTTATTTATTATCTAAAAGCCTCAGTGGCGTTACTATAACACGACAGAACATTATTTAATAAAAATAAAACTAAACACTGAAAAGTCATAAAAACTCTGATTTAAAACTTATCATTATGATCTTGTATCAATATGTATTAAACTTCACAGAACACTGACTGACAGCTTTATTAAGGTTCCTCCAGATACGTATATACTTTATTTACTTACGTATGCAAAAATAAACTGATCTCGTAATGTGGTAGCCCTAAAATGCAGAGATGTAGTCTGTAAGATAACGGTTAAGAGCAAGGATGTCTGCAGCCTTCAGTTGTATCATGGTTAATATGTAAGATAATGGTTAAGAGCAAGGATATCCACAACCTTCAGAAAAGCCTTAATTGTAGATGCCCTTCAGGCATGAGTGTCATTATTATATATTATATAATATATTATTATATATATTTTTTAGACTTGCTGTTTAAAAGCATCTGTTATCAGACTCCACCAATCTAAATGAAATACGCCTATCACTTAGAAACTCCACAGTCGTCAACTGTTTATTTTAAATATATGTAAAATAGAATTAAACAGACTTTTAAAACAAAAAAGAGGTCAGAGTGTGTAGCGATTGACTGAATTCGTCAACAGTAGTCAAGACTTGGCTATCTCAAACTGTAAAAAAAAAGAAGGGCATTAATAAACTGTTATCGTATGTAGCCGGCAACAGGTTAAAAAGCTATTTATATTGTAAGAAAGGTGAAAAATACTGTTTAAGTGGTGCTAAGAGCACTAACCACACACAGCAAATGATTGGAACTATGCAATATGGTCTACTAAGTCGTGTTTAACCCTTATCAATACCAACGGCAAAGAAAGCATTTGCATTAAATTGCTTGTATTGTTTCAACAATGCAAACCACATGAGGTGGTGTAATGGTGTGGGTAATGTTCTTATGCTAGGGATGGGGCTTGATGCCTTTAGAAGGGCGAATAACTTCCAGACTGTACTAGTCGATCTCTACCACCCTGCAATACTATGTTTCCACTTAATAGACAAGGGCTCCTCTCAGATGATGGTGTAAAATTCTTTCACACTTTTATTGTTCGAAATTTGTTCAATAGCATTTCAATAACTTTATCCAGTTTCTTTAGTTGGCACGATTAAAGTCCTATTCGCCTCCCTAATGCTCTAACCACATCTGTAGACAAAATATAGACCTATACCATAACCCTTGACGAACGAGCTATAATATAAAATAAAACACCTTTAGGCATCGTCTATAATCTATATCTCGTCTAACGCCTTCCAGCCCTATAATATTAGGTTAGGTGCATGGGATCGTAATAAAGTGGTCAGTTAGAGTAGTAAAAAACACAGTCAAGTTATACAGACTTAGCGAAGGGATTCATTGTTATGGTTAGTAGCCTGCACGATCAGTTAAATCTAATTATTAATTAGTTTGTAATTACTAGATACTTGCAAATGAAAAATATCAACTAAATAATAATTAGACTCAAGTGATTGTTTAGGCTAATAACCATGACAATGATTGATATCCGATCGCCACAACCACTTTACCATAAGTATTTAAATAGGGATTGTCTACAAAGATCAAAGGATGACGTCTAACATGATATTTACAAAACTTTGAACTATACAGTTAGTATTTTGTTTACATAGAATATATATATAGATAAAGTTTTGGAGTAAACAATATGCAGTAAATGTCTTTTTGGTGATATGAGTAACGGCAATTTGTTAATTTGTGATACTTCAGTAGATTCAGTTTTAATGTTAAATACATTTATCATTTGGAAATAATTGTTTTGTACCGTGTCATATCTATGAATTTATTGCAATGGTTTAGTGTTTGCTTTCAAAAAGTCAATATAAAACTTCTAACACTTTGTAAGTCGTTCTGTATATCCCATAATTTTTTTAATTTTTGTGTGTTTTTGGTCATTTGAGACCTTCAATGTAATTTCATATAATACTAAACTTGCTGTTTTAATTTTTTTTATGTTCTTGTATTCAATTTCGAAATAGTTAAATAAATATAATTTTCAGACAATTTCTACTTTTTATTTATATGCTGTTTATATTCAAACATCGAAATCACCTTCGAAAGTTAAAACATTTTACAAAGACGTATACAAACTCTTTTTGTGTGAAATATTTCTCTTTAAAAACTCACATTATTTGAACGCTGAGAGCTTCCTAAATCTCTGTCATCAAGGTTCACCGTGTGAAAGCTATAATAAATAGTTTTATTTTATCTGAGCTCTTATTTTGAACGTTTCGTACAAATCAGTTATAAAAGTAATTAACCATGTATTAAAGTTTTATTAACCTATTTTGAAATTTCCAATTTCAGATATGGGAACTTCCGACTTTGTATAATGAAGGCACTTTGCTCGAACGTAGAACTTCTAAAATGTTGTCTTCATAAATTTCTTGAAATTACACTTATTATTCCAACATAAAAAAAGTGCTGTTAGCACATTGTCCTCCCCCCCCCCCAAGCACGGGAAGGGACCCCAAATGGCAATTTCTGTGAAATATTTCTAGTCAGGCACACACACACATACATCTATGCAAATCACGTCATATGTTTCTCTCTGGCTTTTGTTTGGTCAGGAGACCCGGGAGGATCAGGTACACACTGGATCTCTACCTTCCTCCTTCGCTGTTGTTTGTTTGTTTGCTTATTTCTGTTCGATCAAGCCTGCATATTTCTCCACTATATCCGGTTGCTGGAAAAATCTATTTTTACAGCATGCAGCCACTGCATGCGCGCTACGATTGTCCGTAGATTGTTGTTCCCGCGAGTGACCCGTTAGACAGGTCCTTAAATGAATTGGAGAACCCACGCAAGGTTAGCCCTCTTTGCCCCTACCCCTCAAAGCATCTTTTGTGAAATGGGACCTTAAAATGGTGTCCACATTAGCTGCAGTAGTAGTGATTATGGTCTAGAAGTTTATGTTTTTGTGATAAGCACGGGTGCGTATTTCATTAGTTTACTTTTTCATTGCATGCTAATAGTGAAGAATGATTTCTCAGAAGATTGTGTAGGCCTGAAGAGATAACATGAAGGTATCGAAACTAGTTTCCTATAGTCTTTTTGTTAATGTTTTGTTGCAAAAATGTGGTTTATTGTTTATGTTCCTTTACCTTTCTTTATAGTTTGCACATTTTAACGTATTCAAAACCTTCTTGCTGAGATGTATATTCCGTAAATGAATTGTTAAATCGTTATTATTTTGCAGATAATTAAGTATGATCAACGAAAGAAAAAAACTCATTTCTTAGAGCGAAACATCATACGTTTGAAGGCACACCGGAAATCGGGACTAAATATGGTGTAGATAATAGGATTTAACATTGAATTTGAATACCCAAGCCATACAAACAGACTGAACAAATAAGCCGGAAGACTACAGCTACTACAAATAGGCATAACTAGTACTACTACAAAGAACGGCAGCCAACATATAACAAAAACACCAGTTATTATTGATAGCGTTTTGGCTGCTCTTCTTTCCCTGTTGGATTCTGCCATTGAATCCTTTGAACATTTTCTCTTTTTTCTTCTAGGGCGAGTATGAAATTTGTCGCAACTATTATAAGTTGCCACATGTCCATTCCTAGATGTCGCTATTGTCTCATTGTTTGGATTACATGTCGAGTGAGTCACGAATGTTGTCATTTCCGTCACAGAAGAGACTGGAGGTGGAACAGGAAGTCTTTGGAAAGAACGGTATCCAAGTGTTCCACTCCTCCGACGAATTCTCTTACGAGCTTCTTTGTATATTCTCCAGTACAGACAGAGTACTAAAACTAAAGGAATGTAGAAAGACGCGAATGTGGCAAACACTTGATAGCCTATGTCTTGACTTACAAGGCAGATTTTGTGCATTTCAACGCGTTCCTCATATTTTGGATCTTTCCATCCTAGAACAGGTCCAAGAGACACAATACCAGATACAGTCCACACAAGCAATATCATTATTCCAATATGGCGGACACTTCTTTGATGAACGTAATCTACATTCGTTACAGCCCAATAACGGTCGACAGCGATGGCTAATAGGTGGAGTATGGAAGCTGTGCAACACAAGACGTCACATGAGGTCCACACATCGCACAGTACGAGACCAAATATCCATTCTTGTCTAACCTCGTACACGGCACCTAAAGGCATGACTAAGCAGGCCACTGTTAGATCAGTTAAGGCTAAAGATAGTACGAGATAATTACCTACGGTATGAAGGTTCTTTTCCATCAAAATGGCAGCGATGACTAGAATGTTGCCAACAACAGTAGCCAAAATCAGCAACGCAAGGATCATGGAAACAAAGATGACCCATGGAATCTCACTAGCGATATCATTACTGGAATTCGCTGCTAAAGTATTATTCATAGAGTAGTTAACCAAATCCCAACAACAGTGGTCATCTGTTGTCCAGTTTGTGAAGTTTAGAATGTACTCAGTCTCTTCCAAGTTGTTATTTGTTATAAACGCTTGTGGTTCGACAAAACTCCATTTCATATAGTCACCCATGCTTGTTTGAAAACCTAGAAAACGGTAGAAATACAATAGATATTTTATACACATAGATATATGCATAAAAGGTAACTAGCCTAATTCAAAAAGATGTCTGAAGACAGATATACTTCAGCCTTCAGATTAAAATGAAAAGTAAATACAACTGTCTAAATATTCTTTCCATAATGTCAAAATAATGTGCTTATCTTATGACGACAAATGAAGGTCTATAATATAACAAAAATGCACCTTTGATAACAGTCAAGTATTATGATGTAACATGAAAGTGTTCATCATAACAAACACTAGAATGGGATAAACATTTATCATAGTAATCAAACATTACAATGTAACAACAATTGCTTATAATAACAACAATAAACCATTATAACATGAAAAGGTGCTTATCATAACAATCACGCGAGAACAACTTGCTGTCACAACAATCAAACATTATAAGAGAACAATGTGCTAGTTACAACAAGTGTTCATCATAACAAACACTAGAATGGGATAAACATTTATCATAGTAATCAAACATTACAATGTAACAACAATTGCTTATAATAACAACAATAAACCATTATAACATGAAAAGGTGCTTATCATAACAATCACGCGAGAACAACTTGCTGTCACAACAATCAAACATTATAAGAGAACAATGTGCTAGTTACAACAACCAATCTCTGAAATGTACCAACAATTAAGGTGCTAGTAAAATCGATGAAACATTACGATATGGCAACAATCAACTATTTTATTGCTAGAAAATGGCTAGATATTACAATAAAAAACAAATAATAATTTAAGAATAACTTAATTCTGAATAATAGTTAACGAGCAAAGAAACACAGATCCTTACATTTTAATTTTAGTTGTTATATACACGGAAACTAAAATTTTGTTTTATATACTAAATATAAAGTGAAAATATCTCAACTACAAAATCCTGATTGCATAATAAATCATATTGAAATTTGAAATCATTTTTGACTCGTGGAGAGGTTGTTTTATTTCCACAAATACATCAGTATTTCTAAAAGTATTACTTGCTTCATATGTGTATCGTAAAATGATAAATCACATACAAAATAAATATGTTACAGGTATATTGTAAAATCAATCATCAGACGAAATGACTGATTTTATACTCCAGTAATTTCATGGAGTGATTTACTTTACAGTATGCTTTTAACATAAACATATGTGTATTTATTATTTGTGTATGTTATATATCCGTGACATGCGTTAGATCGAAAATTAATGCAGCGTAGTGTAAAATGATTTTTAACCATACGTATGACAAAATGAGGTAATAATTTAAATAGCAATAAAATGTATTTTTACCTATATGAATTTTATCTATGATTTTACTTCGCTAAGTTGATTTAATAAACTATGCTCCTTTCCTTTTAAATGTATGATAGAAAAAGTAGTGTACTATTAATTATAGAAAGTTACAGTTTTCAATTTAAAAATAATGAATGCGGCCAGGTCTAAGGAATTAATATTGCCAATCTGGATTTCGATTTTTATACAAATTATTTATGATTGCTGTTGAAATCCATGCTTTAATGCTAAAATATTGAGTTAAATTTGTAGATGATTCAATTTTGATAAATCAACTGACGAAGAAATATGAGTACTCAATTATTTTTGAGTTTGCATTAAGTTTTTTAGTGATTATTCACAGTTTTTGTGTTGGATCAAATACTTTTGTTAGAAATATTGGTAATAAGAGAACTGAAGGAAACAGTATAGTACACATTTCTTGTACGTAAACGCTCTTAGATTAAATGTTTTATTCTAATCATATTAAAAGGATGCCCATGTGTACAAACCACCTGACCGTTAAAAATAAAAAAATAAGTAAATATGGTCATTAAATCCTGCTTCATCGAACTAAGTGTATCGTACCTCTTTCCAAATGAGTTTTTTGGGAGGTTCTAAAGACCAAATGTACGTTTTTGAATATTATAGTTTTATAAGTAGCTTGTTTTTTTTGTTTTGTTTTTTAATTGTGAACAAAGCTACACAAGGGCTACATTGTGTAGTTTTGTGCTAAATTAACCCAAAACTCTTAACTCTTATTTCAAAAGACAAATTTTCCATTGAATTTTTATCATTCTGTTTCAAATAATTAGTTGTGCATACATTTCCAAAGGAAATAGATCAAAATGTAAAAATCTTATGAATTACCATTTCTTGAACTTAACGTATCAATTCGTTTCATTAAAACTTAAAATATACAAAAACAAAAATTATTTTTTTGTAAACTTAGTTTACTTTGGAGACACTGTAAAGCTTGATACTGAAGTAACGCAATAAAAATTTTGGTGTTTTTAGAGATGAACTGCTATGTTCACATCGTACACTTGTATACACATTTGCACTTTTTTTCTGCAGCCAAGCTGTGGCCAGTGGAGGTCAAATAAAACACATTAAAAACGTTTGAACACACGGGTGGGTTACACAGGGCCGAACTTAGCGTAAACAACTAGCTTACCGTGTAAAACAGAAAAAAGCTGTTGCCACCGAATGTAAAATAATAGTTGCACTTATTTGTTCAACGTATGGGGAAAACACCGGGAAGACCGGGAAGTGACAGTGAGGATCACATCCTAACGCTAATCCGCTCTTAAAGGTGCCCAAAGAGTGTCTTCGATGTTTATAAGAAATCAATAGAATAGCACAGGAAACACATAAGGACTCCAGGTGAGGGTGGAGAGTGGCATATGAGTTTGGGGTCAGATCCGAACACTGATTCTCCTATAATGGCTGGAGACGGCTTAAATGGGTAATGAAGAAAAACTTTAATATAAGTTTAACATGACAGCAAATGTACAACGTTTCGACAAGGTTTTGTCATCATCAGGTACCTCCTATGTTAATCCCTCGGAGTGCCCTAAGGGTACATGGCAAGATTAGTTGAGATCGGTCAAAAGTTTGTAGGCGTAAAAAGCGAACATACAATAGAAACAGTTAATCTCTAGGGGAGCGACATGTGGGGTATGGGGTGTCAAAAAGAACACCGAATCTACTATCAATCATTTCTCGGAGGTTCCTGAGGGCTTAGTTAGGATCGGTCAAGAAAGTTTAGGCTTGAAAGCGGACACACAGATGACACTTCAGACTTATATATTTAGTATTTAGATTAAGGTTATGATTTGTTTATTTTGTTATTCCTGGAAAGCTACATAATAGGCTGGTTATCTTTCCTATATTCATCGCAGGGATCGATCCTAATCTCTAGCGTTATAAACCCTCAATCTTACAGCTAAGTCACCTGGGAATATTTGACGTAATAGATACTAGACATTTCATGGAAAATTAAGATATTTTCATAATGCTGTTCTTATTGTTCTTGTTCAACTGGGAGTTGGTGTGAATACTGATTTATATTTGTCAATGTGTCTATACTCTATAGTCTATACGATTATGAACTATTTCATAAAAATGGAGCAAAAGATTAAACTACTTTCAATGACAAATCTATTATGTTTGGAAAAAAATTATAAGTAAAATTCAAATAGCAAAAGTTAACACGTTTGCTACATTAGATGACAACATCGAAGTAAAAATCACAAAAAGTAAATATAAATTTATGACTATTTCTTTAGGTTAAGTTGTATTTTTATATGTTTGTTATTATATTCGCCTTCAAAGTGTTTGAACTAGGGTTTCGAGGCCTAGTTGGTATCGCTTCTAATAGTGCATTTTTATTGAACTTCTGTACCTGCAAGTAGGATGAAGTTGGATTATCCATCACATTTCAAGTATGTCTGTTTTCTCTTTATTGTATTTTATGCCAGTCTACGGATACTTGTTTTATAATTAACCAAATTTGAATTTTTGTTTTCGTAAAATGACTTCATAGTTTTGTTTCCGAAGCATCTTGCTATACCTATTCACCCATGCTTTGCACAATTTGTACAGCTAGTTTAATAGTTCCTTCTCGGTTTTATTTCTGTTTCCCCCCAAAAAAATTATGAGTAAAAAAACAACAACAAAAAACTAAAAATATAATTACTTCAGGAATTATTAATAGTTGTTTTGTTGGAATCGCGTCATATGTATTATATACAAGAGCTTTTGTGTTTTTTTTGCGAAGTTACTAAACTGTGATTTTCAACCTTTGCTTTATCTACGTTATACAGTATGTTTTAGAAGGATTTCGCCAACCCGTTCAATGCTTTCAAAACATTTTAATGGCTACTACTTGTGTTTGCTGTTGGCAGTAATTAGTAGCAGTTAAGGCCTAGTCTGTAATGGGCATTAAGCAGCCAAGCTTAGCAATTTCGAATAATTTATTGATTTGGCATATTTTTATCTTGTGAATAGAAAGCGTTTGAATGACAGTATATCTTATTGAATTATACTCACTGTTTCAGTAGAAAGCTGTTAAACGTTGACTACTGACAATATATCGAACATGGCTGTTTCTGTTTTTGTTACGCTTTAGTGAAATATATTGGCATGTTAGACGCAATATTAATTTTGAAATAAATTTTGTGTTTGCCATCCTCCTTGTGCCTGTCGTATATTATAATTGTCACTACTTCTCTGTGTTCCGTAAAAGCCTTATGAGTTATTTTTGTTCAAATTAGTACATGCTTTCATGATAAAATTTCTGAGGAAAACAGTGAGGGGTGATTTATTGGCTTTATAAAAGTGTACAAGCGAGATGTATCACCAAGTCTGAAAAGGAGCTCGCGAGCTCTCCACGTGCTATGGTATTCTTATCCAGTAGAAACAGACGTCGTTGAATATGAGTTCAAATAAATCGCAGACACCAGATATCTGTTGTCGCTGTTTGATATCTTAAAAAAAAAAAAACTAAGCTGCAACAATAGCTTTGGCTTAAAAGGTTTTTCAAATCTAAGACCGATTCGTTTTTGTTTCATAGGAACGTATATATATATATATTGCTAATTAGAGTTTTAATACCAATGCTCAGAATCAGGCTGGAAATCATCCACTTTTCCGATTGCGAAATCTACTGGAAATCATGC